CCGTAAGGATCAAGTGATCATAAAGTTGGACGTGGACCTACGATATTATTTTGTTCGGACCAAGGGAGAATAGATTTCGCCATCAAAACCATGCGAAGACTTGAAGATTAGTAGGGTAGTGCCGAAGACGAAGACTTTTTTAGTTCTTTAGCTTACACGGGTCTAGATTTACCAAAAAAAAAAAAAAATGGCTTATACGGGGTCTAGGAACAGTAGTTGGGTTGGGATTGTCGGAAACACGGGTCTGGGACCAGGGGAGGATAGATTTCGCCATCAAAATCACGTGAAGACTTAGGCTTGTTCGATGCAACTTATTAGTGTTTTTGTTTTTATTTTTTACTATTTATAAATAATAAGTTTAAATTTTTATTAAAAAAATTTAAAAATTATTTTTAAAAATAAAAAAAATAGTAAAAAAATTTATAAAAAATTTAAATTTAAAATTTTTATTTTTTACTATTTATAATTTTTTTAAAATTAAAAAAATATTTAAAAATTTAAATTTATTTTTAAAAAAAATTAAACCTATAAAATATAAGTAGTTTCAAAAACTTAAAATACTATTAAAAACTGCACCAAATCGGATCCTGAGAAGACTAGGAGTAGAGTAGTACAGAAGACGAAGACTTTTTTTTATTTGGATAATGTTTAATTTTTTTGTGATTGAAATTAATAAAATAATAATTAAAAAATTCAAAAAATACTCAAAATATAAAAATAATTGTTTGGTTAAAATCGAAACCAATTCAAATGGTTACTTTAAAAAATGTAACCAAAATTAATTAATCATGTCTTTTACAATTTGGTTAATGGTTACTAAAATTTAAAACTTAAAAATACAATTAACCAATAATTCAGTTTTAATTACAATCAAAATTGAATCGTGCTTGCCCTCATACCACTATCTCTGTCTTTCACTAATTTGTCAATATATATTTGGTGTTATTAAACTAGGCCGAAGACCACAAATGTCAAGCAATACAATGGCAGAACTCCCAAATCTGCTACTCAAATAGGAAGGTAAGGATAAATTCACCTCACCAAAAAAAAAGAAAAAAAAAAGGTAGAGACAAATTTTCCCTTTGAATTATTGTTTAAAACAAATAATCTATTATTTAATATATGGTGTCATTACACATTAAAAATTCATT